ATATTTTATGGTGCGATAATCTATTTTTTGAATTGATATTCCCAGGTCGATATATCGAAGACATCGATTGTTTACCCGTATAATCGATATTTAAGTTAAAGTTTATTTTACATCTACAAAAATGTGTATGGGAAAATACTAAAGTAGGTTTAACCTGCAAATTGTGTGATTTATTTAGCTCTTAAATTTGACAAACAGCTTTCATGGTGCATAAGGCTCTTAACTCGTTGCCACCGTTAAGGTCCGTTTACATACAACTTTGGCGTTGCGTTGGCGTCGCTTTGACAGCTGCCCGAGTGGCGTTTGTTCATGCTACAATGAACGTTCTGACAGCGCCGGCGATGACGTTTGTTTAAGCCACGTGATTGAGTAAACAGGCGGCAAATAAAAAAACTTGTATAATATTGATAATAAAACATAAATAAATACAAAAAAACGAACAATTCACGGCGGTATAGGTTCATAGGAAGCCGGGGTAATAATTCAAATCATCAAACAGACATTTGTTTTATTTTTTGCCAGTAAAAATGTTTGTGTATCCTCGAGCGTTATTGAAAAACAAAATGTCATCTTTTATTGAAATTACTTTAATAGTGCTACTTATGTATGTACGAGGCTCGGGAGTGTTTGAAGAAAATTAATTCTCAGCGGCGGAAGTGGGTAAGACCTCTTTACTTAAGTCGCGACATTGACGGACTATTTGTAACCAGTTTTGACGAAATGTACAAAAATTACCCCGAGCAGTTCAAAACTACGGTGAGGATGACTAAAGAGGTGTTTGATTTGCTCTTTAGGCTCGTGAAGGAACGCCTCATAAAATATTCCAACAGGCCGTCCATTTCTGCAGAAATGAGACTATTCTTAACATTAAAGTAAGTAAATATTTCTACATATATATTTCATAATAATTTGTGTTCATTACATTCATAGTTTCCAAGCACGCGGGCGAACGCAGCATCTATACGCTACAGCGTATAAAATGGGTCGCTCTACAGCCAACCGAATAATTTTGGAAACATGCGAAGCACTTTGGAGTGAACTTGGAAGTATATGTTTGTCTGTGCCAAACAGGCACGAGTGGAAACGTATATCCCATGACTTCAATACTATTTGGAACTTCCCAAACTATGTGGGCGCAATCGACGGAAAGCACATCACTTAAAAATGACCTTCCAACTCCGGATCCCTATTTTTCAATTACAAGGGTACCTACTCCGTCGTATTATTAGCAAGTTGCGATGCGAATTATATATTCACTTGTATCGATATTGGGGCGTACGATTCGCAACGCCATGGCGGTGTTCTTTGGAATTCTGGATTTGGCCAAATGCTGTTCCATGACCAACTAGACCTGCCTGAGGATGACTTTTTACAAGACAGCAATACTAAGTTTAATCATTATTTCGTTGGAGATGCAGCATTTCCTTAAAAAAAACTTGATGCGGCCATGTCCTGGTTTGATACCAAAAATTCATTACATAGAAAATGGCTAACTCGCAAGTTGCATTTATAGTTTGGAAATAAAGAAGGCTCATGCTTTGGAGGTTGGTTCCGTGCGTAGAAGTGGAAAACTTTTGACTGCCATTCACCTGGGAGTGGCCAGAAGCGATTCTTGTGCGTTCGGTTCCAATCGCANATCCACGTATCCTCTGGGTAGCAACCAAACACCCGTTTGGGAGCGAGCTAAAGTGAGAAGGCGTAAAACTTCGCGTGCGCTGGGTTTGGGTCCCGCCACGTTAAAACCCCGCCCAATGAAAATGAAACAAACAGCCTCGGATGAGACCCCCTTTTTTAGATGACGACCACGGCAACGTATAAAGGACTATGATTTGAGGTTATGCACCAGGAATATCCGGACCCTTAATGGGGAAGGTGCCTCTGCCCACCTGGTTGATGTCCTCGGGAAGACAAAGGCTGACATCACCGGAATCAAAGAAATGCGATGGATGGGGCAAGGAAAAGTAAGTGTAAAGCCTTGCGACGTCTACTACAGTTGCCATGTAAAGGAGCGCGAATTCGGTGTTGAATTCGTGGTAGGAGAGACTCCGTCGCCAAGTACTGGCGCTCACCACGGCGGATGAACGCCTAGCCACAATCCGCATCAAAGCTAGATTCTTCAACATCTCGCTCATCTGCGCCCATGCCCCGACGGAAGAGAAGGATGAGGCGTCCAAGGATCTCTTCTATGAGCGCTTGGAACGTACATATGAGCGCTGCCCCCGACACGATGTCATAATCGTGTTTTGCGACTTTAAGGCCAAGGTGGGCAAGGAAGGGATCTCTGGCGCCACTGTCGGAAAAATAAGCCTCCACGACGTCCGATAACGGACTGAGGCTGATCGACTTCGCCGGAGCCCGCCAAATCGAAAAGCGAGAAACTAAATCGATCATGTTTTGATAGACGGAAGGCATGCTTCAAGAGTTTTAGACGTACGTACACTCCGAGGGCCAAACATCGACTTGGACCCCTATCTTGTTGTAGCCAAGATACACACCCGCCTCTGTGGAGCAAACAATGTGCGCCCAACAATCCAAGGAAAACTTAACGTCGAAAAGCTGCAATCACTCGACTCACATACCGCCGCCGAAGAAGTAGTTGGATTTCAGCGAGCCCGAATAAACAACTGGCACGATGAGAAATGTCAAGAAGCTGCAGAGAAAACAGACGCCTAAAGGGCCACGCTGCGATCGGGCGAAACGCGAGCCATGTTGGACCGTTATAGGGAACTGAAGAAGGAAGCGCGACGTATTTGCCGCAATAAGAAGAGAGAGGTCGAAATACGTGATTGCGAAGAGCTTTAGATGCTGGCCGACACGAAGAACGCCCGAAAATTCTACCAGAGGGTTAGGCGACTAACAGAAGGTTTCAAGACCGCGACGAACTCCTGTAAGAACACAATGGCGACCTATTGACCGATGTGCAGAATATACTTAAATTATGGAGGGAATACAACCTACTGAATGGTAGCAGCGCTGGAAGTAGTGAAGAAGACGATCCCGTGTCCCCAGTGGATGATGATGGAGTAGCTGTCCCACCGCCTTACTATGACGAGGTACGAATTGCGATTACGCGGCTGAAAAACAACAAAGCTGCTGGAGCTGACGGCCTGCCAGCCGAGCTATTCAAGTACGGTAGCGAGGAGCTGATGAGGTGCATGCATCAGCTCGTCTGCAGAATATGGTCAGATGAAATCATGCCCAACGACTGGAATTAAAGTGTGCTCTGGACAATCCACAAGAAAGGCGACCCCGCATACGCGCCAACTACCGCGAAATCAGCCTTCTAAGCATAGGCTATACGGTTTTATCGAGTGTATTGTGCGAAAGACTGAAGCATACCGTCAACGAACTGATTGGACCTTATCAGTGTGGCTTTAGGCCTGGATAATCCACCATAGATCAGGTATTCACAATACGCCAAATCTTGGAAAAGACAGTACGAAGAGAAGTTGCCTTATGCCGCGATGTCTGAATTTGGTATCCCCGCGGAACTAAAACGGCTGTGTAAACTGACGCTGAGCAATACCACTACCTCCCTCAGAATAGGGAAGGACCTATCCGAGCCGTTTGATACCATACGAGGTTTCGTGTGGTTTCTTTAATCTGATGTTGGAGAAGATAATAAGAGCCGCAGAACTGAACTGCATAGGTACAATACTTTACAAGAGCGTACAATTGCTGGCGTATGCCGACGAATTCGATATTATCGGTAAAAACAAGGACTACGTCTGTTCTGCGTTCTCGGTATTGGATAGAGAAGCAAAGCGAATGGGTCTGGTGGTGAACGAGGACAAAACGAAGTATCTCCCGTCATCACATAAACAGTCTGAGCATACGCGCCTTGACACCCACGTCACTGTTGACAGTTAAAAGTTTAAAAAAGTAGACGACTTCGTTTATTTGGGAACCAGCATTAACACCAATAATAATGTCAGCCTTGAAATCCAACGGAGAATCACTCTTGCCAACAAGTGCTACTTTGGGCTGAGTAGGCAATTGAGAAGTAAAGTCCTCTCTCGTCGTACAAATATCACACTATAAGTCACTCATCATGCCTGTGCTGGTGTATGGCGCGGAGGCATGGATAATGAAAGCATCTGATGAGGCGGCTCTTGGCTTTTTTGAGAAAAAGATTCTGCGAAAGATTCACGGACCTTTACGCTTTGGTGATGGCGAATATCGCAGACGATTTAACGATGAGCTGTATGACCTTTACAACGATATAGACATAGTGCAGCGAATTGAAATTCAGCGGCTTCGCTAGCTTGACCATGTCGTTCGAATGGAAAGAAGCTGATCTGAAAATATTCAATTCGGGTCGCGATGCTGGTAACAGAGGAAGAGGAAGGCTTCCTCTGCATTGGAAAGACCAGGTGGAGAAGGACTTGGCTTCACTTGGCATTTCCAATTGGCGCCAGTTAGCACAGAAGAGAAATGACTGGCGTGCTGTTTTGGATTCGGCCAATATCGCTTAGGCGGTTACAGCGCCAATAAGGAAGAAAATGCTTTGCATTGATGCAACTTGCAACTCTACCATTATTTGCATCTATATGTATGCATGTATGTACATACAAATATGCCTTTTTTAATTTCAGGGTTGCACCTGTCACCCGATCGTGAAAATTTTAAAAAGCGCCTTTCAAAAGTTCGGCGTGTTATTGAAAACGCTTTCGGAATAAGGACAGCACAATGGAGAATTTTGCTATCCCCATTGCAAACGCAACCATTAAACGCAGAGAGTATCGTGAAAGCAACGGTGCTGCTACATAATTTTGTAAAGCTAAACGATGGTAGCTATTGCCCACCTGAATATGTCGATCGATATGAAGGAGATTAAATGGATTATGGCGCCAAGAAATCTCAACACCCCTTCGAAGAACTTGTCGATTAATGTCAAGAAGTACTTTCATGTTAAGAGATCAGTTGAATGGTTATGTAGCCACGCATCCTTTTTAATTAAACACACTCCTGTTTAATTAAGTCACTCATGTAAGATACAGTTGCATACAATAGAAGTATTAGTAAGCGGTAAGTACATAACTCTTCTGTGGACTCATTATAATACATCACTGAATTTTTGATATTATTTTGCTTTTTTACCAGAGACCCAAAATAATAATTATTTCATGGTGGAGTTTTAAAAGAGTCACCCAAATTATTATGTGTCATCGATAACTATTATTTTAAGACTAATATAATAGAAGTCTTTCCAGAATAATTATCAGCGAGATTAATATTTTTAAATCTTCAAAAACTTTTATTTTGAGACTTATATTATAAAAGTCTTTTGATAATAATTATGAGTGCGAAAAAATTTTGTATATAGTCCCGAACTGGTCCCAACCTAGCCCCGAACTGGACCCCAACTAATCCTGAAATGCTCCTGAACAAGTCCCGTCTTTTAAGACTTCAACATTTTTTTCGCGCTCATAATTATTATGAAAATACTTTTATAATATAAGTCTTCAAATAATAGTCTTTGCAGACTTAAAAATATTTATCTCGCTGATAATTATTATGAAAGCACTTTTATAATATAAGTCTTTGAATAAACATTATAGATGACTCTCAAATATTTATCTTAATATAATGATTATTGATTGACTTTTATTCTTTTCTCTTATAATAGTTATGTCTCTGTTTTTTACGAATGTTTATCAGATGGCAAGGCATTGGTGCATCAACTTCAAGTTAATTATATTCACCAGCTCATACAGGCACGCGTAGTAGAAAATCCAAATGCACTAAGCGAGGTATATTACTGTTTGCACTACTTTTGTCAGTCTCTGCAGCTAAAAGTACCTTACACACAAACGCGACGTCTCAGCTATGAACGTTTGGATGACAATATTGCCATTGAAGAATATGTACCAGGTGTGAAAATAATTGCGCACACCGGCATGCTAAAGTGCCACGTGCCAAAGCATCTGGACTGCCCCATTATGCCCGAAATGTAAACTTTCTTCAACGCCGATAAAAATTAATTCCAGAAAATTATGTCCGAACTAAGGTAACTATGCTTTCCAGCCTTTATCAGCGGCTACAACCGAGATATAACCCTTCCTAACGTTGCCGGATAATCTGTTTATGCAACTCGGACGACATAAAATTTACGTTAAATTGCATCGACATCTCAATGTTACCAATGTACCCCTATTCTGCAACACTTTCGTATTCGGATTTTTCGGATCAGCCTTGAAATCCAACGGAGAATCACTCATGCCAACAAGTGGTACTTTGGGCTGAGTAGGCAATTGAGAAGTAAAGTCCTCTCTCGTCGTACAAAGATCACACTCTATAAGTCACTCATCATGCCTGTGCTGGTATATGGCGCGGAGGCATAGACAATGAATGCATCAGATGAGGCGGCGCTTGGAGTTTTCGAGGGAAAGATTTTGCGAAAGATTTACGGACCTTTACGCGTAGGTGACGGCGAATATCGCAGACGATTTAACGATGAGCTGTATGACCTTTACTACGATATAGACATAGTGCAGCGAATTAAAATTCAGCGGCTCCGCTGGCTTGGCCATGTCGTTCCAATTGACAGAAACGCTCCTGCTCTGAAAATATTCAACGCGGGCCGCGATGCTGGTAACAGAGGACGAGGAAGGCTTCCTCTGCGTTGGAAAGACCAGGTGGAGAAGGACTTGGCTTCACTTGGCATATCCAAGATAGCACAGAAGAGAATGCTTTGCATTGATGCAACTTGCAACTCAACCATTATTTGCATCTATATGTATGTATGTATGTACATACAAATGTGCCTTTTTTATTTCAGGATTGCACCTGTCACTCGATCGTGAAAATTTTAATAAGCGCCTTTCAATAGTTCGGCGTGTTATTGAAAACGCTTTCGGAATAATGACAGCACGATGGAGAATTTTGCTATCCCCATTGCAAATGCAACCATCAAACGCGGAGAGTATCGTAAAAGCAACGGTGCTGCTACATAATTATTTAAAGCTAAACGATGGTAGTCGAAGATGAATATGTCGATCGATATGAAGGAGACAATAGATTAAATGGATTATGGCGCCAAGAAATCTCAACACCGCTTCGAGGAACTGGTCGATTAATGTCAAACAAGGCTTCAAGAAGTGCTTTCATGTTAAGAGATCAAATGAATGGTTATGTAGCCGCGCATCCTTTTTAATTAAACACACTCCTGTTTAATTAAGTCACTCACGTAAGATACAGTTGCATACAATAGAAGTATTAGTAAGCGGTAAGTACATAACTCTTCTGTGTACTCATTATAATACATCACTGAATTTTTTATTTTATTTTGCTTTTTTACCAGAGACCCAGAATAATAATTATTTCATGATGGAGTTTTAAAAAAGTCATCCAAATTTTCGTAAGAATTATAAAAGTCTTTTGATAATAATTATGTGTCATCGATAACTATTATTTTAAGACTAGAATAATAGAAGTTGTTCGGGGAAGACAAGCGTTTTTGTCTACCTCTTTGCCTTTCTATACAAAGAACTGCGATGCAAAAAATAAGTGCCTCTCAAAAACTGGTTGACAACAAGCGAACGAATTGCTTTATTGCATTAACATGTGTGCTATTTATACAAGCTAGGGTGACAGAATGTAAAGAGCAAATTCCAATAGATAACAATGAGCGCGAGTTAACATAACATATATCGTATAATTACAAATGACATTACGCTCGTCGCTTTAAGCTGGGGACAGACTTAGTTAAGTATGGCATCTAAATCTCGTAGCTATGATCTGGACATACTCCCCCCGTTGAAAGCCGTAGGTGCTTTTAACTTATTCAACTGGTAGTAAGCAAAGCTTTGTGATGGCCCGTTGAGTAGTCCCATTTATGGTACGAATGATCGCCACTCGTGCTATGCCATCCTTTCCCTTCACGACGTCAACGATACGCCCCATTTGCCACTTCATCGTTGGAAGATTGTCATCCTTCAAAAGTACCAGAGAATTTACCGCTACGTTTGGTGATCTTTTCCGCCACTTGCTACGCTCTTGCAAAAGTGTTAGATAGGCAGTGCTCCAGGTCTTCCAGAATTGTTGCTGAATGCGCGTCATCCTTTGACAGTGGCTAAGCCGGTTTAATTCTATATTCGCTAGGTCAGGTTCCGCCATAGCCGTAAGTGCGCCTCCGGTTAGAAAGTGTGCTGGAGTTAGAACTTGTAAGTCGTCAGGGTTTCGAAGTTCTTCGAAACTCAACACAGTGAGCCCTACTGCCCTACGGAAGTAGAATTTTGCCATTTTAACGGCGGCCTCCCACAATCCTCCGAAATGGGGGGATCGAGGTGGNTTCTTTTAATTCGTTTTTAGCTCCAACGAAGTTGGTAGCGTTGTCTGACCAGATAACTCTTGGTTTGCCGCGCAAGCTAACAAATCGCTTAAGGGCCGCAAGGAACGAGGTCGTTGTTAAGTCCTTAACCAGTTCCAAATGACAAGCCTTGGTTGAGAAGCAAAAGAATATGCAGATGTAGCATTTCACAGGTGGCCTATTCCGCACATCAGGCTTATAACAAAACGGGCCACAGAAGTCGACGCCAGTAGTGTANCAGATAACTCTTGGTTTGCCGCGCAAGCTAACAAATCGCTTAAGGGCCGCGAGGAACGAGGTCGTTGTTAAGTCCTTAACCAGTTCTAAATGACAAGCCTTGGTTGAGAAGCAAAAGAATANCAGAAGTCGACGCCAGTAGTGTGGAAGGGGCGTTGCATCTGAACGCGTTCTGCTGGCAATTCACCCATGATATTCTGCAATAACTTCGGTTTGGCGCGAAAGCACTGAATACATTTGTTAAGTACGTGAGCTACAGCTTTCCTCCCTCCAATAGGCCAATATTGCAGACGAATGGTTGCAAGTAACGCTTGGGGTCCGGCATGCAATAGTTTGCGATGATAGTGCTCAATGATACTTCTAGTAAGTGGATGGTATCTGGGCAGTATGATCGGATGTCTGGCATTGAAACTCAAACTTGAGTTTTGAAGGCGTCCTCCAACACGAATCATTCCACCGGAGTCTAAAAACGGATTCAATGAGCTGATTTTGCTTGATGACTCAATCGAACGTCCAGCCTTAAGTGATGCATACTCCTTTGGTAGAGAAGCCATTTGAACCATCCGAATGAGCAACTTAGTCCCAGTTTCGATTTCGTCTAAACTTAGTAGAGCCGATCTCTTCTGAATCGATGATCTTCCTTTAATAAAACGGTTAACAAAAGCATAAATTCTCTGCATAGATCGAAAATTGTTAATATATTTGCAGTTTACGGAGTAATCTACCACCTGAGATGATGCGATTAGCATGGTACGCCGTTTCTCTAACGAAGTGCTTTCGAACTTTGCCAGCTTGGGCCATTCACACTCCTCCTTTTTCAGGAAGACGGGCCCGTGTTTCCACAGTAACGACGACATTAGCTCACTGGGTGGGCAACCTCTGGACGAAAGATCTGCAGGGTTACACTCCGTAGGGACGTGTCTCCAATTCATGCCCTGAGTAAGAACTTGGATGCTACTGACTCGGTTGGCCACAAATGTATTGTAATTTGCTGCAATGCCATTTATCCATGAAAACGCAATTGTTGAGTCTGACCAGCAAACAAATTTTCCTGTAAATGGGCCCAGCCTTTGTATTGAAGAAATCAGATCAGCCAACAATTTACCCGCACAAAGTTCCAACTTCGGAATCGATAAAGATTTTAGTGGTGCTACTCGGGATCTAGAGCAGAGCAGGTTTACATGCACGACANTTGGCCACAAATGTATTGTAATTTGCTGCAATGCCGTTTATCCATGAAAGCGCAATTGTTGAGTCTGACCAGCAAACAAATTTTCCTGTAAATGGGCCCAGCCTTTGTATTGAAGAAATCAGATCAGCCAATAATTTAGCCGCACAAAGTTCCAACTTCGGAATCGATAAAGATTTTAGTGGTGCTACTCGGGATCTAGAGCAGAGCAGGTTTACATGCACGACATTATGCAGTTTTACTCGAACGTAAACGCTCGCCCCGTACGCTGCCATACTAGCGTCACAAAATCCATGCATTTGAACTTCGCCCGCACCAAGTTCTACAAAACGGGGAAAGTAAATTTTGTCCACAAAATTCAACTCGTCGCACAATTTTGTCCATGCAAATTGTAAACACGACGGAAGGCTTTCATCCCATGCTAAATTTTCTTTCCATAAGCTTTGCAAAAAGACGCTTTTAACACCACCGGACTAATTAGACCAAGAGGATCATAGAAACTAGCGGTTACTGACAGCACGCTTCGTTTTGTTACCCGTCTGGGTGGAGGGGGTAAGCTAAATGCGAATTGAAGTTCATCCCTTTTAGGGTCCCAAACTATACCTAAAGCCTTTGTGATGCCATTGCCGTCACTGAACTTTAAATATTGTTGCCCATTAGATAACTAAATTCCTTGAAGGATCTTTTCGTTGAACACCACTTTCTAACTATGAAATTTCCCTTTTCCAGAAGTTTTTGTGTTTGCGTCATTATTTGCAATGCTACATTTTCTGACCTTCCCCCCGAGATAAGGTCATCCACATAGAAATCTCTCAAAACTATCTCTGATCCTAGAGGATAATTGCATGCCTCATCAAATGCCAACTGATGCATCGCCCGAATGGCTAAGAATGCCGCTGGTTTGGTTCCGTAGGTCACAGTGTCCAATCTATAAATTCGATAATCCTCCTCTGGCCGCTCTCGCCAGAGTATGCACTGTAAAAAACTGTCGTTTTCGTCCACCTTTACGCACCTGTACATTTTGCAAATATCTGCTGTTATAGCGATTTTGTGGGACCGAAACCTCAAAAGGGTGTCAACAAGCTTTGGTTGTATGGTAGGACCAGAAAGTAAGATATCGTTTAACGAAACGCCTGTGGAAGTCGGAGCAGAAGCATCAAAAACCACACGAAGTTTAGTTGTGGTGCTATCTCCTTTCAATACACAATGATGCGGAAAAAAAATTATGTGAACCCCGGGGGGAATAGTTTCAATCAACGACATATGCTTAAGTTCTAAATACTCCTTAATGAAGGCAGTGTATTCCGCTTTCAAATCCGGATTCTGTGAAAATCGCTTCTCTAGACCTCTAAAACGACGAACTGCATTTGAATAAGAATCACCTAAATTCGAAATGGTGGATTTTATTGGTAATCTAACTACGTATTCTCCTGTATCCAACCGACGAAAATTACTAACAAAGTGGTCCTCACATACCAGGTCCTCTTTGGTACGCTTTATGTTTTCCTGAGCACAGAACTTTTGACTAAATCGTTTAATGAAGTGTCCGCGTAGTTACTTGAAGTTGCAGCGCAGACTACTGCTTTCGAAGACCCGACTTCGACCTTTCCTGCCACAATCCATCCTAGTCTTGTTTTTTGCAATATTGGAAGGCCTTGTTTCAGACAAATTTGCCCCACGCATAACAGTTCGAAGAATAAACTTACACCAATTAATAAGTCAATCTTCTGTGGGCGAAAAAATGAAGGATCTGCTAACTGGATATTTGCCGGAATATTCCACTTAACGTTCGACAAATTTGTCTCAGGCTGCAATGTTGTGATGGTTGGCACAATGACAGCCGAAAGCGATTTGGAATAGGACCCATCAGAGGCCTGCATGTACAAGACAACGTTTTCCTTTGATAAAATATCAGATGCTCCTATTCCCGAAATTATTGTTGTGGATTTAGATTTGCTAAGTTGCGAGCGATTGGCCATATCAGAAGTTATACAATGCAATTGCGATGTGGAATCAAGCAAGGCTCTACATGGAACGAAGTTCCCATGGCGATTTTTTAGCATAACGACAGCAGTAGCTAGCATAGCCTGCTCCTTAGACACGAATGCAACAGGCTGCTTGGAGTCTGCAATAAGAGCCGTTTTTGTCTCCGGAGATGCGACTGCCTCCTCGAGAACAGGAAGAGCGATTGACGACAAGTGAAGCAAGGTATTGTGTTTGCCTGAACAACTTTTGCAATTGCTGGATTTGCAATTTTTCACGATATGGCCTTTTCGCAAACAGTTAATACAAAGCTGTAACCTTTTGGCTTCCTTGAAGCGCAGCGAAGGTGATAGATTTAGAAACAAAGGGCACGTGGAAATGAAATGCTCTATACCATTGCAAAATGTGCACCCTTTGGCAGGACTGGCGGTGACAAATGATTGTTTACGAATGGAATTCTTTTTATGATTCACCTGTTTTCCTGACCTGAATGTAGTTTTTTCAACGCTCTCCATTATACGTACTCTTCTTTCCAAAAATTTAGACATCAAGTCCCACGAAGGTAGCTCGTTAATCGGTGCATGCTCTTCCCACTTGGATTGTGTTTCGACATCTGATTTGGTGGTGACAATATGGATGAGAATGCCGTTCAGTACTTCGTCGTTAGTCGCAATTGTTTGTAGTGCCCGAAGATGACTGCCAATTTTATCGCTGAGCTCTCGTAAGCCATTTGCGGAACCTTCTGCAACACCCTACAAATTAAAAATCTCTTTAATATGTGCATTAAATTGAGCTGTTTTAATATCGAAACGTCTTTTTAGTAATGTTACCGCCTTTTCATAATTTTCCGCGTTGATTTTCAAAGACCGAATAGCATCTAAAGCGATTCCACTTACGCATGACCTTAGGTGTTGAAACTTCTCGACGCTTGACAAGTTCGTCTCCTTATCCACGACTGCACTGAACATTGCCCAGAAGTCTGGCCATTCCGTAATTACTCCACTGAATCGGGGTAACTGCAACGGTGGCAAACGAGATCTTGGGACCACCGTGATGGAGGGCACTGCGGAATGTTCTTCCATCGTCGACTGCCGACGAGTGGAGGATTGTGCGAACGTGGAAGAACGTGATCCAAGGCTTTTCGTAACAGCAGCTTTGACAAATATAAATGAGTCGAGGAATTCCATACGCGTTTCGCTCTCAATTTCGGCGTTGTCTTCCTTCTCCAGCTGCGACTGTTCCTCTTCAAATTGCACCTGCATTCTTTCCAACTGCTCCAGTTTTACAATTATACTGGATTCATCTGCGCCAAGTAGGCTGTGTTCCTCGATTTCAGCTCTAAAGTTGTTAACTTGCCTTTTGAACCACAAACTTTTTCGCTTAAGAAATGTGATATTTGGGTTCTCCGATTGTTCTCGAATCGCCTCACGTCTTTTATTTGCTCGAGTCATTATGCTTGTGTAAAATTGAACAAAAGCAAAAGTAAGCCAGAAAAAAACGGTAACCGATCAGGCGATCCAACTGGAGATGTTAATAACGGAGCTAATCCAACAACTACTGCTTCAGAGATACACGTAGGTATCACGTCGGGGTCACCAATGTTCGGGGAAGACAAGCGTTTTTGTCTACCTACCTACCTACCGTTTTGTCTATACAAAGAACTGCGATGCAAAAAAACAATGTGCCTCTCAAAAACTGGTTAACAACAAGCGAACGAATTGCTTTATTGCATTAACATGTGTGCTATTTATACGAGCTAGGGTGACACAATGTAAAGAGCAAATTCCAATAAATAACAATGAGCGCGAGTTAACATAACATATATCGTATAATTACAAATGATCATTACGCTCGTCGCATTAAGCTGGGGACAGACTTAGTTAAGTATGGCATCTAAATCTCGTAGCTATGATCTGGACAGAAGTCTTGTCATAATAATTATCATAGGGATAAATATTTTTAAGTTTTCAAAGACTTTTATTTTGAGACTTGTATTATAAAACGTTTTTGATAATAATTATGAGTGCGAAAAAATTTTGTATATAGTCCCAAACGGGGCCCAAACCAAGCCCCAACTAATCACGAACTGGTCCCACCATAGCCCCGAATTGGTCCCCAACTAATCCTGAAATGCTCCTGAACAAGCCCGCCCTTTAAGACTTAAAAATTTCTTTTCGCGCTCATAATTATTTTGAAAAGACTTTTATATACGTCTTAAAATAAGAGTCTTTGAAGACTTAAAAATATTTATCTCAATGATAATTATTATGAAAAAACTTGTACAATATAAGTCTTAAAATAAAAGTCTTTGAAGACTTAAAACTATTTTTCTCTCTGATAATTATTATGAAACCAATTTTATAATATAATCCCCTTATTTAA